TCCTGTTCTTGTGTACTCGCATTGTGGTGCATGACGTTGCCACCTTTGCTCTGCTGGGAAGGACGGTCTGCCTTCCATGCGCGTCACTTTCGCCTGCCTTCTGCACTCTCCCTCTCTGCTTGTTTTCCACCGCGGCTGCAACGTCATGCCGCCTGTCTCGTGGCCAGAGGGCCATGGCCTGTCGTGCGTGCCCGCCACCAGAGGGTGGTAGCCACGCATGATGTATCCTAGATACGCATGTGCGCGGGTCACCCAGAGTGGGTAGGCCTTGTCGAGGGCTCGCGACACCTCTAGATCGGGGTTGCGTAGTCAAAACAGCGCGCTCAGACCCGGAGAGTCGCGCGATGGACGTCGGCGCAGGCTTGGAGGGATATTTATCAATTTGGGGTTCCATGGGGGGGGGAATGGCTCGGCGTCGCGCCTCCATCAGCGCCTCGCAGATGGTGGGAGGCGCGCTCAGACTCGAAGAGTCGCGCGATGGACGGCGGCGCAGGCCCTGAGGGAGAGCATGTATCAATTGGGGAGGTCAAGTTGGAGAATGGCTCGGGTTCGTGATCTGGCCGTCGGAGACAGCGCCACTGCCGGCCGAGGCGGCGACGGCGTCAAGCAACGCCGACGCGCGTGTCCTTGCAAGAGAGAGGGGGGTGAGGTGATCGGGGGAAGAGGCATGAGCACGAGGAGGAGGAGGCAGAGCAGGGGGCGGGGGGAGGTTCTCCGCCAGGGCGACAAGCAGAAAGGCGATTAGGAGACAGGAAGAGAGCCTCCGCAGTCACAAGGACGACGATGAGGAATACTTCCAGGTTCGGTTGGAAGGCTCTCATGATGCGGGGTCCTGCAGTCGGAGTACTTGAACGATGAAACTTGCGCTGGCCTGCCGGCCGTGCTCCTACGGTCGGCCGGGCTGGTCTGCCATTGTCACTGCCGCCATCGCCATCGTCATCACCACCACCATCATCATCATAAACATCATCAGCATCATCATCATCATCATCATCATCATCATCATCATCATCATTGTCATCACCATCACCACCATCATCGTCATTGTCATTATCATGATCATGATCGCTATCAACGCCATCCGCATCATCACCGTTGACATTTCCGGGGCCCTCATCATTCTCATCGTATGCCTCCCCCACCAGCTCGCCCAGTACACCGCGCAGGGCGCGCTCACCGTGCGCCACGCTGTCCCGCAGGAGCGCGCGCAAAGACACACACACACACACATACACTTTTCCGTCGGCGGCTAAGACGAGTCACTGCGCTGGCGATGGGGCGACACACACGCACACACACAGACGCACACACACACGCACGCACGCTCGCGCGCACACGCGCGCGCACGCACGCACGCACACACACATACATACACAAACACACACACATATACACACACACACACACTGCACACACACACACATGCAGGAAGACACACGCACACACTGCACACACACACAAACAAACACACACACACACACGCACACATGCAGGAACACCCACGCAGCACACCCACATAGCCGCACACACACACACACACACACACACACACACACACACACACACACACACACACACACACACACACACACACACACACACACACACACACACACGCGCACACACACACGGACGCACACACACGGTCGACCAGCATGGCAGACAACAGCGGCACGTTCAACCAGCACGACAGATCACAGGAACATTGCAGACCAGAACGGCAGACCACAGCAGGTCGGCAGACCAGCACTGCAGGCCACAGGAGCATGGCAGACCAACACGTCAGACCACAGCAGCATGCCAGACCAGGACGGCAGACCACGGCATCGGCGGCGACGGCCTTCGGCCTCGGAGCAGGGCCCGTCATCGTGCTAGGACACTGCTTACGCTATGCGATGGCAGACGGCGCGGACGAGGGCACCACGGAACGCCTGGTCAGTTGCAGCCGCTGCGGAGCCTACGCGGACATCGACGGAGGCAGAGGGCCCAAACTGCACGCCGAGTGCAGCGAGTGCCCTCCCAAGGGGCCCAGGGGCAAGGGTGGGCGCGACCAGCTCAGCCTCTGGAAGCGTGGGCAGCACCCTGGAGGGAGTAGGAAGAAGGCCATCAGGCACCTGCGCCAGCTGGACATCACCAGCGAGCTGCGGGGCGACATCCTGGCCTGCTTCGGCGTGCTGCCCGTGGAGGCGGCGCCTGCCGCGCCTGACGATGAGGGGGAGGTGCCTGAATGCTCCCCGCAGGCCGCAATGAGGGAGGCTGGCTGCGAGAGGGGCGGGGGAGGGACGGCCACCTCCTGCGCGTCGAGCTCGTCACCAGCGGGCGGTCTGCAGGCAGACGCCGACCACGTACGAGGCAGTCCGCGCGGAGCCGCTCAAGGACGGCCTCCAGGTGCGGCTGCGGCGTCCCGTTGTTTGGGAGCGGCCGCGATCAGCCGCCCTGGGGCCATGCGGGCGCACGGCCTCGACGAGGCTGGCCTGGCCGACCGGGCGGGAGAGGTTGAGGCGATGGCAGAGGGGCGCAAGCGGAGGCGCCTCCTGGGCCCCCCATGAGTCCTCTTAGGGGGAGAGCGTGCGACGGCGGCTGGCCGTCTGTATACGGGGCCGTCTCCCTTGCTTGCCGCCCGCCCCCGCCTACAGCATTGCGTTTTTGCGAGCCCTCGCAAAACGGGGTCGGAGGTGGGCGAGGGCGATGTGGTTTTCCCCCGTGGGCCCTGCGTGGCAGCATCGAAGCCCGCTGGACTTCGTGAGCATCGTTGAGACCGCTCGCCGGCCGAGCGACCGGTAAATGCAGCTTCTGGCGCCCCCGGGTCGCCAGCCGCACCGCCGGTGAATGCGGCCAGCGTTTGTCGAGACTGTGGGCTTCCCCCATGGGCCTTGGGGGGTGCTTCGGCGCAAACCCTTAAGGGATGTGTGCAGCTTGCCCTGCCGAGGTCCCTCGGCGTTGGCGAGCGGCTTGGTCGAGGTGGGCGCTGTGCGGTTGGCCGTCCGCGCTGTCGCGCTCCTTCCGCCCCCAGGCGTGTGGCCCTGTGGGGGCTCTGACGCTCCGGCTCTTTCCCCGCTGGGCCCCCTGGGCGGGTGGGGGCCGTGGTGGCCCTGCCCTGGGGCGCGGCCCAAGGTGACCCGCCTTCTCTCGTTCTCTTTCTCCTCGGCTTTCAGGCCCCCCCCAGCTTCAGCTTCAGGACGGCAGACCACAGGAACAAAACACAGCGTCGCAGCAAGACCGCAGCAGCACAGCAGACCAGCACGGCAGACCATACAGTCGGCCCAGATTAGTAGGTCGACCCTGCCAAATCAAGGGTACCTTTGTGTCCTGTGTCTCGCGACCCATGCCTCTTGCATTTATATGGCAGTGTGGCCCTCGGAAGGGTCGCGTGTCCTGTCCAATGAAGTCCGATTGTAGCAGCAACCAGGACAAAACAGCAGCAAGACAAACCAACACGACGATCATCCCCACGAGCCTGATGTATAAAAGCGACGCCTCCCGTTCTAGTTCGGTCAGGTTCTGTGAATGATGGCAGTTTCGCAAGAGATATCATCCAAACATCGGCTCCAGAGGGGGCTCTGAAGTGACGTCGTCCAGGAATCGCCCCTGGAGGGCTTCAAGACTCAAAAGAGCGCCCAGAGGCACCCCAGGGTGCCCAAAGAGGGCCCGAAGATGCTCCCAAGGGCGCCCTGGGAGGCTCCCAGACAGCACAAGAGAGCTCCAATGCAGCCCAAGATGGCGTCAAGACGGCCTAAAAGAGCCCCCGCGCAGAACTCAAAGACATGCCCTGGCAGCCCAAGAAGATCCCAGAAGCCCCCAAGAGGACCCCGAGCAGCCCCACAGAGGCCCACAAGATGGCCCAAGATAGCCTGAGACGGCCTTGACCCCCCCCTTTTTCGTCGTCCTTTTCCTCGTGTTCCTTCCCGTCCTCTTTCGTCGTCGGCGGCCTCGTCCTCCTCGTCCTCGTCCTCCTCCTCCTCCTCCTCTTCCTCATCCCCCGGTTCATTATTCCTCGTGCTCGTCCTCCGCCATGTCATCCTCCTCGTCCTTGTGTTTGTCATCCTCCTCGTTGTCCTCCTGCTCCCCTCGCTGCCCTCCCCGGCATACACAAAGTATTCTTCGTCATCCGCTGAGCCCAATGGGCAAACTCGGCGTTTCCCGTTCTTGCGCAATCAAGTTTGCAACACAACATTTGCGCCGTAACGCTTGCACCACAAAGGTTGCACCACATAGCTGCCAGCATATAGGTGGCACCACATAGCTTTCACTGCACAGCTTTCACCACGTCGATTACACCACGTAGCTTCATTCTGTCATATAGCTTGCACACCATCTTGCACCACATAACTTGCGCACATATCGCACCACCTTGCTTCCACCGCATTGCTTCCAGCACATAGCTTGCACATCTACGGTGCACATATGCTGGGCTTCGACATTTGAGTCAGCCCCACGCGAGCGCCCATTTCGAAACAATGCCGCCCTCATTCACGCAATCGTTGCAAGCATTCAAGACGGGCGTGATGCGTGCGGCGGTGTGGCGGGAGAATCAGCGACCTCACGCTAACAGGTGTACATGTAGGACGTGTAAGAAAAATGCGCGCTGCGCTAAGGAAATCGCCACATGTGAAACACGATCCGCCGCGCATCCGCATAATTCTTGGCAAACAAGCTTCAGGTTTTAGAAAGCGCGGAATTAGTCGTGAGCGGCGCACCGTGTCCGCCTTACGGACGCGCCTGATAGTGCGATGAGGGGGAGTTGCTTACATGTAATGGACGAGGAGGAGGAGGAGGAGGAGGAGGAGGAGGAGGAGGAGGAGGAGGAGGAGGAGGAGGAGGAGAGAGGGAGGAAGACAGACCAGAGTGAAGGAGAATGGAGAAGCGAAGAAGGAGGGGAACGGAGGAGTGAGGAGGCAAATGGGGGTAACGGAGGAGGGAGGAAGATTGCAGGAAGGTGTGGTCTCTTCCTTCCTCCTCCTCCTCATTCGCCCTCCCCTCCCTCACCTCCTCTCTGCGAGGCGGCCCTGGCGGCCGGCGGGAATGACGAGAACAGGACGCACAACGCATTGCGGGCCGGCACCTCGGAGCTCCTGGGGGAGGGGAGGGAGGGAGCGGTTGCAGGAGCAGGAGGAGCTGGGATGCGGAGCAGGGAGGGAGCAGGAGCAGGAGGGAGGGAGG